CATGTGGTGCTGGGGGATTGAACCGCGGTCCCTGATGCTTTTGCTAAGCTTGTTCTAAGTAGGTGCTTTAGACCACTGAGCCATCTCTCCAGCCCCGGCATGGAGATTTTTGTTTAGACAAAGTTTGGAAATTATTGCCCTATTTGGTTTCCTCAGTACACAGGTGGGCAGGTGAATTCCCAAGCAGGAAGAGACCCTAAATGTCTCTTTTCATTGGCTGGAGGCTCTGGAATGATTTTAGAGATTCAGTGAAGAGTCTCCAATGGGAGACTAAGCCCTATCGCCCTCCTCCAGGGAATGCACAACCTTGCCTCTTGTCCTAACTGGAGTTTTGTCAGAAAGAAAAGAACAAAATTCCCTGCTGTTCCCCACCCCGCATCCCAAAATCAGTGGTCCCCTCCCACCTGCATTCCGAAGGGCTCCTCTTGGTATTGGCCATTACCATAGAGCTTGGCAGTAATGGTGGGTCCATGGTGGCGGCTGGACTTCTTAGTCAGAACAATGGCGTACTCGTCATAGTTGGTGTGAACCACATAGGACTCCATGGTTGTGTTCCATTCTGCACAGAGAGGAAAGCAGCATTTGAGACCTAAAGAGCCTTCTGCCTGAGTTCGCCACACACCGTGTCTTCAGCCACCCATCCCTGTCACTACCTGTGACTTCTGTATGTCTGTCAGGTCACCCATCTTCAGTCTCTCTCTATGCACTATATGTTCATCGTTAATTCATCCATCATCACTTCATCAATTCTAAATCCTCTCTCTCTCTCTCTCCCTTCCTCCCATCCTTCTCTTCTCTCTTCCCTATTTTCTTCCTTCTTTCCTGTGTCACCCCATCAGTTTGGCTCCTAGACACCTCGTCTATCCTTGGCTTATGAACATTAGAGTTGCAAATCTTCACAGAGGCACCGTGGAAGACTCACCTTGTCAGCTTGTGAATGAACGCAACTTAAGAACAATTCTCCCAGAACAGGAGGACTTAATACACATATATTCATTGCTTGTTCATTCACTCATATGTTTTCTATCTATCCATCCATCTATCTGTCCATCCAAATATTCATAGAATCAGCTGCAACGTAATCATTTGACAAGAGCACATCCAGGCAATAAACGCGTGCCCAAGTCTCTGTCTCTTGGCACCAGGCACAGCAGGGCCTGAAGCTAGATGGAACCTTGGTGTTGTCCTCAGCATTCAGCACAGCACCGTGTTCTGAATGAGCACAGGAGGGGGAAGAGACTCGGAATGGTAGGGAGAAGGTGGAGGAAGAGGAGGAGGAGGAGGAGGAGGCGGCACCCAGAGAAGGGTAGGCAACACCTCAGCTAGGAGGGACAGACAGCAAGGGACCTGAGGAGACAGGGTGGGCTTGGGCTCAGGGCAGGAGGGTGGGTCTGCTTCCTCACATACTGGGTTTACGGTAGAGGAACTTTCCGGCTGTGTCTGTTTTCTCGTAAATCCCCGAGGTCTCCTCACACACCCCTCTCCTGGAAGGAGCAAACCAGAAGGAAGGAGGCTTGTGGTGGACGCTATGGGCCTGACACCCAACCCCATGGTGCGACTCTGGCTTTTCTTTAATTTGGAAATATTTCTAAACATCCCGTTTAACACTGATACCAGCCCGGGAGACCCCCATGATCCACCGAAGGGAACTGAGGGGGAGCGGTTGCAAAACAGACAGTGCTGGGAGCGCGGCCGGTGTGTAGATGGCACAGGCAGGGCGCTCCTGGGCGGGGAGGTGGGGTCCGGTGCTCAGAGGCCGGTCCTGCCCTGGGCCCTGCTCCCCGCACCTCCTACTCACCGCCAGTGGGTGTGGGTGGTGCTGATCTGGGCCTCGGTGGCGCCCTTGCCGAGCACCAAGGTGCTCACGCTCAGTTTGTCCCGGATCCTCTTCAGCCACGGGCATGTGGAGCCCATGGCCACGGTGAACCACTTCCCGTAGATCTAGGAGGCAGCCGCCAGCACTAGGTCTGGGTTGGCCTCGGATCTGAAGAGGACTCAGCTGACAACCCTGCCCCTCCTCTCTGTGACCTGCCTATTGTTGGGGTGATGGTTTTCTGCTTTGTTCTCTACAGCAATAAGGACTGAACCCCAGGCTGCACGACCTGCCACTCACTCACTTATTATCACTTTGAGACAGGGTTTTACTAACTGGCCCAGACTAGCTTTGAACTTGTGCCCTTCTTGCCTCAGCCTCCAAAACAGCAGGGATTACCAGTGCCTGCCAGCACACCAGCCCAATGGTGTCTAGGGCGAATGGTGGGGCTGCAGGTACTGGCAAGCCCTGGAAGCTGCTGTGAGCCAGAGCTTGCCTGCCCTGTGGAGTGCCATGCCCCTCCGAGATGGGGTGAGGACGGCACACCCTATGCACCAAGGTCAAAGGCCACTGCTCCCCCAGAGCTACAGCCCTGCCTCTCTCGCACAGTGACACGATGCTCCCTGGCTCTCACACTGCCCTCAGCGATGGAAGCAGGGGTTGTGTCAGCACGCTGCGCCCTGCGGTGCACATGGGGCTCCTCTGTGACCTTGTCTCTCCACAGCTGGAGGAGCCCCCACCTTGCCTGGACCAGGGCCAGAGGCCTTAGACCCTTTAGCAGCCCAGACCCCATCAGGGGGCCCTGCTCCCCACATCCCCTCTGCCATCCTCTCTCTTGTCCTTAAAGTAAAGCTGATCTGCTGTTGCCACCTCTAGAAGGGTCCGAAAATCTCATACAGAGGTGGTGACAGTCCTGTTCAAGGTGGCTGTGTCACTCAGGGCAGAGGTGGAACCCAGGACAGTGGCCTTCAGGACTAAGCTGTGGAGTTTCAGGTGGGGACTGAGACAGGAGACAGGCAGGACCTGCTTGGCCAGGCCTGGGCACTTGGGCTCTGTGATCCCACAGCTGCCAATGGGGAGGCCAGCTTACCCGGGACTCATCGAAATTCTCCTGCACTTGGATGTCGTCTGGTGGCATCGACGTAGGATTTGCACTCACAGCCAGGCAGCCGGCCAGCAGCAGGAGCAGGGCCCAGACACCCCCCATGGCTCTCAGCTCTTCTGTCTCAGGTGTCTCTCCACTCAGACTGGGGACACAGGAGCCACCACCTCCCTGGCAGAGACGAGTGCGAACTGAGGCTAGGAACAGGGCCTAAAGCTTGTAGGTGACCTCAGTGTTTGCTCTCCACAGCCAGGACCAATCAGGGCGGAGAGGCCACTCTGATTGACCCTGTCGCCTGATGGGGTCGATCCCTGAGCCTAGAGTCCAGGGTGCCTCACTCAGAAGAGCTGCGCCCCCAGGAAGGGTCCCTGCAAATGCCCACCTGTCTCAGGGGCTGTGTCCCTCCACCCGAGCACCAGCAGTTCAAGCCTAATTGGCCCTGTTTCTCACATTAGGAAGCTGAGGCCCAGAGACAGGGAGTGACTTACCAGCTAGCTACTATGGGGAGGGCTGAGGCAGAGGCAAGACTAGAACCCGGCATCCTGCCCCGGCTTGCTTGCTCTGCCTCTGGTTGCCTGGTGCCTCTGCAGATCACATGTGGAGACCACCCATGTGGGGGTAGTGATGGTGCTGTTGCTGTAATAGCACCCATCCATCGGGCACTTGTCACCTGAAGACTTTGTCCCCAGCACTTGCGCAGACCACAGGGTTGCATGTAACTCTGAGTCTCCTCAGGAAGTGGGTTCTATCTTCCCCTTGACAGACACTGGCTTCCAAGAAGGGGCGTGCCTGGCCAGGGTCCCTGGCAGGGATGTGGGGTTGCTGAGAAAGAGTCTTTGTCGGTGGCTGAGCGCAGGGACTCGGGCCTGAGCCGCTGTGGCACGCCGCTACTGTGTGTCCTTGGGCAGGTCACTCCCTCTCGGGGCCTTGACTTCTACATCTGCAGGTGGAGACCTAGTTCCTGCACTGGGGTAAGGATGGGGCATTGGGGTTGGTGATGTACTAGCAGGTTCATGTCTTGATGGGTTAATTAGTGTCCCCTCCAAAATTCATGCCCACCCATGCTGCAGGATGCAACCTCACTGGCAGATGGGATTAGTTAAGATGTGGGGGCACGGGATGATCCATGGGTCCTGAGTCCAATGCCCTGTGTCTATAAGAGAATGGACAGTGAGACCCAGAGGGACACGTGTGCAGGGACAACAGCCACGTGCAAGTGAGGCAGAGGCAGGGCAGCTCCAGCTCCAGCAGCCAAGGCTGATGGCAGCCACCACCGGTAGCTGGACAGAGGCAAGGGAGCATTATTTCCGCAAGCGCCTGGAGGGACCCGGGCTCTACTGGCAGCTGGGTCTTGGACTTGTGGCTTCCACCACTGTGGCAGCATACTTTGTGTGTGTGTGTGTGTGGGGGTACGGGGGTACCCAAGGTGTGCAAATACTTTGTCCCTGAGCTGCACAACACCTCCAGCTCTTCTAATATTAAGACAGGGTCCTGCTGAGGCTCTAAGTTGCTCAGGTTGGCCTCCGTCCTGTGACCCTCCTGCCTCTGGCCCCCAGGGCTAGAAGCACAGTGTACCTCCTTCCTCACAGCCTTGTCTGTTGTTTTAAGCTGTCTGGTTTGTGCTTCTTCATTAGAACAGCCCCAGAAATGAATATATTATCATTAGGCTCAAATTTTTAAATGGGATCTTTAGAAATGTAGGCCTGTCTTTCCCCAGAGCTCGAACTCTGCTGCCCAGTGATACCATGGTCTCCTGAAGACGTTTTCTCCTCCAGAGGTTAAAGCCACTGTTCTCCCTTCCTCTGGAGTCCTGTCAGGAAATATTCCATCCACACTATAGCTTTCCTGCCAGAGCTGGGATGTCCTTTGTACAAGGTGGGTCTGAGAGCAAGCCCCCTACTCTGTGAGAATTGGGGCATCTCTTACATAGTCAGTGCATGAATAGGTAGGATCTGATCTGGTTGAGGTGTTCTTTTCACTGGTATCCTAAGAGGGTGTGTTTCTTTTGCTCTGGAATAGACAGCATGGCCACTGATTACATTCCTTTTTGCTTTGGCTGCTGGGGAGCTCATATCCCTGATTCATACTAGATACAGTGTCTTGGTTTTGATTTCTAAGACAGCTATTCCCTGTCCTCACAGACTTTCTCAATGGTATGAAGTAAAAATTGGAAGCCAGAAACCCAGACATCTCTGTATTCTGAGTGAGTTAAGAGTGCCTTTTTTGCTCCCTTTCCTAATCTATAATTGAAGATAACAATCCTGTCTGGCTGCCCAGAGTTCAAGCAAGACTCTTATTTGTGGAGGCACGACCTGAACTGCCCACTGGCCTTCCCTGTGTACTGAGACCTTCACCTGACCTTCCCCACATGGCTGTAGGATCGGGGTTGTCAGCCCCATGGCCTGCTGGGAAGCCGAGGCCCACAAAATTGAACCAGCCCCCGTCCTGGCCGTGCTGGCTGGGGGCTGAGTGTTTGGTGCACAGCCTCCCCCTGCCCAGGGTGGGGCTGTTTGTGCTCATAAAATCATTAACCCAAGCAAACAGAGAAGGACAGGCTGCCAAGGCCATCTGCACTTTGAGCCGCTAGGTAAAAATTAACCCTGGGCCTGAGGATGCCAGGCTGACTGCCTTGGGTTGACCCCATGTCCCTGGCTGTCTAAGAGGGAGGACCCTGGGGTCCAGGAGTCCACCGGAAGTGACCAGGGCCTGACCATTTCCCGTAAGGGGAGAGCCTCCCACTCAGGAGGCCTGAGAGGTGCCCGGAGCTGTGGGAAACCCTCAGGGGACAGGGAGGGGAAGGCTTTCGTTCCAGGTCACTTGGCTTATAGCCCAGTTGGGGGCCAGACAGGCTTGTCCCCATAACTAATTCATTTGCTCACTTATTCTGTCGCCAAATGCCCATTCTGCACCTGGATCTGGGAACAGGACAGGGAGCATGGTGGGCCTCCGGGCACTGGCTCAAGGTCTGACCAGATGAGCAGAAGAGTGAGGAGCAGAGGGGGAGGCAGGCTGGTCACCGTGGTGACAGGGGAAGCGTCAGGGCAGAAAATGGAACCTGGAGAGTGTGAGGGAGCCAGGCTCCCATGAGGGAGGTGGGCTTTGCGCAGAGGACAGCAATTCCAAAAGGCCTGAGGGGTGGGGGGAAATGTACAGTGGTATGCACTGGTAATGCAAAATAAATTTTAAAAAATCGAAGCAGAGTGCCGGTCCCATCTGCAATCCCAGCACTCTGGCTGGGAGGCTGAGGCAGGATGATCATGAATTCAAGGCTAGCTTGGGCAACCTAGTGAGACTGGCTCAGAACAACCGGAAATGGCAGCCCCCACAACTCCCTAGGTGCTGATTTAGGAGACAGACGAGTTGCTGGTGGGCCTGAGTGCGCAACAGCTGCTGGGGGTCTCAAAGTGGACTGCTGGTCAGCTGCTGGGGAGGCTCTCCAGAAAGGCAAGAGGGCAAGGCGCTGGGAGGGTAGCTGTTGGCCGGGACACCTAGGACGCTGGGCATCTGGGCAGCACGCGGACGGCGGGGCGACCTGCCTTCTGGACCCGGAGTTCCTACCCCAAGCCGTCACTCCAGGATCATCAGGCGAAGCTGGAGGTGGACAGCGCCCAGGACTCAGTTACCAGTGATGTGCCTGGCCGATTCTAGGCTCTGCTACTCCCCCTTCCCCCTGGGGCCCAAAAAGCAAGACTCGAGCCAGTCCTCAGACTTGCGGGTGACCACGGGAAGACATTCCCTCGCTGGCCTCGGCTTCTACTTCCAGACCTCACCGGTCGTGGCGGAAATGAGGACTGAGCGACGGACACCTGGGAAAGGCACCGCAGTGAGCCTTTGACGGCTCCTACAGTACCGCAAAGGCGCGGCCGCACTGTGTCCACCAGAGGGCAGCAGAGAGCTTTGACAAAGACGGCAGAGCTGTGCTCAGCATTACTCTGCAGGGACAAGGCCAGAGCCTGGAGCAAAGATTAAACAGAGAACCAGAAGGGGAGGATGAAGGAAAGGGGAGGGGAGGGGAAGGGGAAGGGAAAGAGAAACAGGAGTCGGGGCGGGGGGAGCCCAGCCTCTCATGGGTCCTGGCATTTAAAAAAAAAAAAAAAAAAAGGTTACTGGGGGAATTCCAGAATTGCGTACCATTGCTATAGGCCACCAAGGTCACAGTACCCTGAATTTTCGCTGTGTTAAGTCCTCACATCTGCCACATCCTCTCCTGAACTCTGCATGCATGGGTTCCTGAGGCCTCCAGATAGGGTCTTACTAGGCTGCTAGCCCCAATTTACAGGTTAGGAAACTGAGACAGAGACATCTGGTGATCCATGCAGGAGGTCATGCAGTGAGGGGCAATGCCAACCCAGGTGTGTTTCTCTGACACTCACGGCACTCTGCTGGCCCGTCCCAGGCCTGTCCCCCTATACGTGGTGGGACCGCTTGGCCATGTTCTTTGGGACACCTGGAGTTGAGGTGTCTCCCTTCCTGGCCTTCTCCTGGCAGCCGTGAGGATGGTGTGGGTCTATTTCTCCTCTCCTCCACTAAGAGTGTGCCTGGCCTCTGCCCTGCCAAGCCGGCCCTCTCTTCTTCCTTGGGGTCTAGTGCTGCGCTGGGGACATCAGGAGGCAAGTGCTTGCCTTCGAAGCAGAAGGAAGATTTAAGTTAGGCCCCAGAAGGACTGCTTGGGAGAAGGTGGCTGAGAGGGACCTGGAGATGGAATCAATGTGCTCAGAGTCTTCTAATAGGGACAGAATGAGGAGCAAGGGATGGAGCTGCTGGACTCCTCAAGGGCACACAACAAGGAGCCTCCCACCAGTGTGGGCTGTCCTGTGTCCTTGCTTTGGGTTGGTCTTTCTTTTGGGCTGGGAGCCCCTTGGTCAAGCAGCAGAACTTCAGACTTGCGGAGACCTGGGTCTCAATCATGGCTGCTGCCTGCCGCTGCCTTTTTGATTTTAACCAAATGACCTCATCTTTTGAGCATGCCTCCTCTGTGAGATGGCATTGTTTAGAGATTCTAGGCCTCTCAAGACTGAGAGGTCAGTTAGAAGCGCACCCTGTTCTTGCTCCTTGGAGAGCTTGGCTTAGTTGGTGGGCCCTTGGAATCCACCGATCTGAGCCAGAGGTGGAGGCTGGGGAAAGAGTGCTCAGAGCTCAGAGTGTCCTTGTGACCTGGCTGCCTGGGGACAGAGCTTGCAGCCTGGGGTCTGTCTCCCTGTACACCCTGGGGAAAGGGCTCCCAGAGGACCTCCTACACCTCACCTAGGTCCAGAGAGGAGATGCTGGTATATTCCTGCTCTCTACAGCCTGGCCTGATCTGTCCATCCAAGTAGGACCTTCTGTCCCAACTCCTGACTGCCCATGTGGGCATAACCCCACACATTAAAAGGGCTCACAGAGCTCTTTGATGAAACCATGAGGCAAGCTTGACATTTAGGAAAACAGTACCCGTCTTCTTCCAGTAAAGATAAATGACTTCTCCTGACTGGGCTGCTGTGGAAGGACCACAGGAACTCTTCCTGGGCTCCTGCCTGGATGGCCACTGCTCTCGCTGGAAGAGTCCATGTGAGAAGGGTCAGCCCGCAGGAGGAAGCCGGCAGAGCTGGTGTCAACAGCTCCATGGTCTCTAAGAGGCCGGACACTGACACAGCTCCTCCCCGTGCACCACAGGCACGACAGAGGCTTTATACTCAGAGCATCCATTAGTAACGATAGTGATAACAAGCAACATCTATTTAGCGCTGGCTGTGTGCCAGACTGGTTTTAAAGGCTTTATTTTTAGTTCTAACTTCCCTGGTGCAACTGGCTCCTCTAACGGGAAACCTGTTTTGTCCCCACTTTGTGGAAGAAGAAACTGAGGTTCAAAGAGGTTCACAGGCTTATCCAGGGCCCCCGAGCTGGCAAACCTGCAGATGGGAACTGAGTGTGGGGCAGGGTCTGCCTGAGACCGTGCGCCCTAGACACCACCCAGTCTTCTTCCTCCTGCCCAGGCCCTGTCCCCCAGACAAGGCTGGGCGCTGAGGTTCCACTTCTGGTCTTCCAGGCTCCAGCCCAGAGTGCAGCGTCCTGCTGCACTAGGAAGTTTATAAAGCACCCCCTTGTCTTTGGGCTGGTGGTGCTATTTCCACGGGGAAAAGAGTTCAGAAAGTCTCTGCTTTTGGCCTGTACATGCAGCCTGTGGGATGTGTGAGGCTTTGGTGCAAGGGTCTTGCTGTACCCAGGGGCTCCTGAGTCTGGGGAACTGCTCCTCTCCCTGTCTTCTCCTGTGGCCCCACTGGGTGACACTTGGGTGGTGGTTCAGAGCCTTTTCTTGGGAGCCAGGACACTAGTGCAAATCCCACTTCTGTCACCTCTTGGCTGTGTGACCATAGGCAACTTCCTGAGCCTCTCACCTTGCTTCCTTCAGTGCACAGTGAAAATATCAGCACTACTCACTCCCTTCAGAGGTGGTGAGAAATAAAGTAGTCGACACATGGCAAGTGCGTGGCACCAGATAAACTTGCTAGTTGTTGCTATTTGTATTTCTACAGCATCATAATTGTTGCTTTGCTTGTCCTTGTCCCCTGCCTGGCTTGACGCTCTTGGAGGACAGGGCAGTGGCTCAAGACCAGGTCTGTATGCAGGGATCTTCATGGTGCATGAATGACAGGGACAGGACCAGAGCTGAGTGGAGCTTCCTGGGGAAGAGCCCTCTGCCCGAGAATCAAAGCTTATCCTTTCTGGGTATCCAGGGTGGGCTTCATGGACCACAGGGAGCTTGTCTGGCTCAGCCGGTAGGTCTGTGTTGGAGCAAGCCTAGACCCCGTGTCTTCCGCCTCCCGTCTTGGTCTCCAGCCCCAGTACTGACCTGTCTACAAATTCCAGTGGTGGCTGCTCCCGGCTCATGGAAAGCCTAAGCCCATTTGCCCAGCTTTGCCTGCCATGTTTGCTTGCTTAAAATAAAGGCAAATAAATCCTTGAAACCTCAACAAGAAGATGAAAATGGAAAAAGACATTTCAGGGGACACAAAATGTCCCACAATAAGTCTAGAACTGAATTTGAAGGAAATGTGGGAGAAAGACCCAGAGGGGGGAAAAAAACGAAGATGGGGCTGGGAGGGCTGGGGCCAGGAACTGTCCGGCGGGGCCAGTCTGCACAAACACTGCTGTCAACTCCAACTCTTGAGCTCCTTCTGGGGCTGACCCCTGACTGTAGCTCACAGCATCCCCAGGAGTGCTACTTGAAAACCTACTTGTGCCCACCTAGTGCATACTTTCTGCTAGACCCCACTCTAAGGGCCTAAATGCAGGCACCCCCAAGGGCCTGGAGAGCTCCAGATATCCAGAGAGGTCTTGAGATTTGCCAGCATTCTAGAACCTCACCGATGGCCTTCCCAAGGCTGGGGGTCAGCACACCCTCATGCCTGTGAAGACCACAGCAAATCTGACTTCTAACCCTATTTTACAATCCCAGAGGGGGCCAGGCAGAGTAATCTTAGGGCATTCCAGCTTGTCTCATCCTAGTGCTCAAAGGTACTAAAGACCTGCTCGTAAGTCTGAAGTTTTTAAGAGCTACTACCTCAGTCCCAACATTCCTGCAACTGACATTGGAAAGCCGTGGCCTTCGGGGCTGCAGAAGCTCCTTCCTTAAGAGGCAGTTTCTCAGTTAGGGTTGAGTGGAGCTGAAATCTTCACCCAGTTCTGGAGACCTGCGGCAGCCCCTGGGTTCTGGGACTCCAGCGGCAGGTGCTGGCAGACAGGTGTACAAAGCGCTTGTGAGACAGGGTAGCAGAGCCCAAGGCCTGTGAATCCTGTGACTCTCTTGGGAAAGGAAGTGGGGATTTTGCTGAGCTGGAGCAAGGAACGTGGATGGAGCAGCAATGGCCAGCACCCCTGGGTGGTCCCTGTCCATACTCTGCTGCAGCTCCGAAAGACTCTCATGCTCCACGCCAGCTGCCTCCCTGTCTCAGGCTGTGGACCTCCCAGCAAGCAGGGCCAGAGATGGCGCGATAAGACTGTTGGGGAATGGGAGGAACCTGGCTATGAACCTGCAGAGACCCCAAGCTGATGTGGCATCCGAAAGGGGCTGGCAGAAGGGATATGATAGTGTAGACCGGGCTCTCTCCCACTTCAGGCCCACACAGACATCCCCTCCTGAGCTCACAGCAGGCTCTCTGTGGATATGTGTTCAACAAGCACAGATTTTTATCCTATCCAATTTCCATGCTCACCAACAGTTGGTTTGGCTAAATTCTCAGCAATAGGCAAAGCCAAATGCAAGACACTTTCTAAACATCAGGGAGTTTCACCCCCTGATAGCACTGTGATGGAGCCTGGTCGATGTGTCCAACTGAACATGAGATGCTCAGGCTCAGAGCAGTTAAGATGCTGGCCCAAAGTCACCCATGGGTAAATGATGACCCCGGGCTTGGAACTTATGTGGTTTAGTCTGCCGGCTTACCTGCCTCCTGTCCTCTGGGTCTGACTTCCTGCACCTGGCTCCACCCTCTGAGCCTGGGCCGTCCCTCCCTGGCTTTCCACAAATACCCTGGTCACAGCTGGGCACCCCTCATACCTTGCCACAAGTCCTGCTTCCCAGCCCCCAGTCTCTGGGCTCCAGAACTGTCCCAGCTGGTCCTAGCTGCACAATGTGCAGACCTCCCTGAGGCTACTTCACAGAATGCTGGGAGAGGCAACACCAAGTTCTCCCAGGTCTTGCACTGGGAGGTGTAGGGGAAACTGGCCCCTGTATCCTCAAGCTAGGCACAACTACTTTGGAGAAAAGAAGACTCCAAGTGTAGCTGCGATCTCCCTACCAACATTGGGCTCCCCAGTGGTCCCCAGCACTCCCAATTGGCGGACCTGCTCCTTCTCCTCTGATCCCCCAGGCCACGTGACAGCTTGCCTGCCTGGGGACTTGCCCTCCCTGGCTCAGGTATTCTGGCTGAGAGGTCCCATCTGTTCTGGTCTCTTCTCTGGTCCCCCACCCCAGCCCACCCATCACTCCACTCCAGCATGATATAAATGCAAATTAAGCTTCTGGCTCCTCAAGAGCCTCTGGCATTCCACTCTGGATGTGACCAGCAAGGTCCTGCAATTCCTGAACCAAAGAGCAGGGAACCTCAGAGGTGCCTGGGTGTTTGCCTCCCCACTGCCCACTCTCCCTGGGCTGACAGCTGCTTGCCTCCCAGCCTTCAGAACTTCCTTAGGGACCTCTCTGACCCTTCCACAATTTCTGTTTGGAGTCCTACCTTCTCTATGGAAACTCTTGTAAACATCACATGTGAACTTGTAAATATCTGTCTGCCTCCATCAGTCCGTTTTCCTGGGCAAAGTCCTCTTGTCTTATGTTGGTCTAATCTGCTCCTCACAGCTTGATTTGCAGTTAGTACCAGCAGCATTGTTGAATGGATGGATGGATGGGCAAATAAATGAATCATGGGCCTCAGTTTCCCCAGTCAGGAGAGCGAGGTTGGCCTTGTGGCTTTCTCCCAAGACCGTCCTTCTTCCATTCCCAACTTCCTTTGTGGGGATGTGCTTCTGTGTGATCATTTGCTGGGGACTCACACCAAGGATCACGATGGTCCTCGCTTCCTTGCCCCTCACTGGAACTGGAAGGAACAGGAGCTGTGCCCCCCCCACCACTAATCTCAGGGACTGGAGACCGGAAGTCAGCTCAGGACTATCCAGGGCTCTCCTGCGATGCCACCACAGGCCTGTGACACTCAAAGCCAGGCCTCCCGACCCCACCAGGACATGTGCAGCTGGCACAGAGTGATGGGTCCCTTGCCCACCTGCCTGCCCCAGGTGAACCCAATCCATGAGCTCCTTCACTGAGGTAAATGCTCACCACCCTCCCTGCCCGCTGCCGGTCCCACCAGTGGCACACTGCAGTTGCACGACCAAAGTTTGTCTAATGCATCAAAGGAGACAGGAGCCTAGAACGATGCAGAACAGAGGGGCTCACACCTGTGCTTCTCTGTGGGCCCTCTCAAGGGTCCCTCCCCCTTGGTTTTCTCCATAGATAGGTGACAGGAACTGGAGCTCACGCCTCTTTATTCACACATTCCATCAACCACTGTCTGTTTTCTCCAGTCAGGGGCAGGCTGGTCCTTTCTCCCCAGACAACCTTACACCAAGCCCCCAGACTCCAAACATGTCCTCTGTCGAGTTAAGTGGCAGCAAGCGGTGGTGGCCAGTTCCTTCTGTGTGGGGAGACTGAAGCCAAGAGCACAGAGCCTGCCCAGGGCATGCTTGGGACCCACTGTGCCTTCAGCGGGGAGGGAGGACTTGGTCCAGGCTCTGAGGGCCCTCGCTGGGCAGTAGCCGACTCTGACCACGTCGTAGGGAGTTGCCAATCTGGTGTCTAAGGGCCTCCAGCCTTTGAGCCAAGTTTGCAACCCCGGTCCCACCTGAGGAGCAGAGAGACTTGAGGACTACACTCTCAGGCCCTCTTCAACCCAGCCCACCCAGAGGAGGCTCACATGCTACCTGCTACCCTCCCCTGCCAGCCCATCCACCCAGAAATGAGAATTTTAAAGCAGGGAGCTGCAAAAATCTGAGATATGGCTCAAGCCCATACTATGCAGAGACGGGAAGCCTGCATCCTGCAGCCTGCAGCCCCTTGGGCCTACCTCTTAGCACTGGTGGTGTGTTAGGGGGCTCCACTGGCAGTGGGGGAGCTGAGGGGACCACCTCTTCCCCAATCAGCATCTCTGCCAGCATCGTGGTCTGCGTCCAGCTGCCACGGCTCCTGGGCCAGGGAAATGGGGGCAGCAGGTGCACCTTGGTGTCCCCAGGCCTTTTTTTCCCTGACCCAGTGCTGCGGGGCTGGACTCACCTTTCTCTCAGGCACTTGGCAGAGCCAGGGCTGTATGGAGGTGCCCAGGGTGGGGGCCGGGCAGAGAGAGGGATGTCGCCTGGGGCCTTGGGGCCCAGCATCTACAGGAAAGACCAAGCCCACAGTCAGGAACCCCGGCCAGGCTCCAGGTAGCCCACTGCCTGGTGTTGGCTATGCCCTCCATGTCTGACATGCAGGATACCAAGAACATCAGGCCAGCACAAAGGGGGTTGATCATCTTCCTTTTGGTCCCACACCCTGTCCAGAGGGAGCCCAGCCAGCCTTTATCCCGCATCATCCAGCCTGGAATCCAGGTCTCCCTCGCTGAGCCTCAAATCAAGTCCCCAGGTCCCCCCCTTGTGCCTTGGCACTTCCTACCTGCGGCAGGTGGCCCTCTCTCTGAGGGCATGCCCAGTGGGCCAGGGGTGCCCGGCACAGGGGGCAGAGGTGACAGCACGGGCAGGAGCAGAAGGACTGCAATGCCTGCAAGAGGGTGCTTCAGCGGCTCTGTGACACCCCAGCCTGTCACCCTCCAGCTTGGGTGGGGACACTCACATGGCAGGGAACAGCTGGGAGCATCACACAAGGACACGGTGGGCTGGCAGCAGGGACAGGATGAACACGGGAGGCAGCGAGGAGGCGCCTGGGAGGAAGGGTGAGGAGCCAAGCCCCAGGCAGTGACTTTCTAGCAACACCTGGAGCGCTGGCTCTGGGCAAGCGCTGGCCCTGTTCTCTGGACTCGGGTGAGCCCGTGGAGGAGGCAGGTCATAACCCCATTACAGAAAGCAGAAGCCCAGGTGGCGAGGGCCCGAAGGACCAGGCCAAGGTGATGCCACCAAGGTGCAGAGCCGGTGGTCAGCCGCTTACCCCTCGTGACGCACCTTGGCCTGCGGCCTCTGTCTGAGGCCTGCTCACCTCTCCAGCTCCTGGACCTGCTGAGCCAGCACCTGCTGCTCAGCCCAGGCCATGTCCCGGCTCCTCTGCAGCTGACTCATGTCCTTCCTGGGGACAGTAAGCCCCAGGGATGACAGGATGTGGGGCTGGGGTAGTACCAGGCAGCCTCTCACTGCAGCAGAGTGTTAGCCCCAGGAGGCAGGAAGGGACAGTGGGAAGCCAAGGAGCAGGAAAGCAGGGGCATCTCAGTCCAAGCACCCAGCATGGAGGGGTGTGGACAGAGCCCTCAGGCTACGTGCTGGGCCCTACCTGAGCCTCTCGTTCTCCAGCATAAACTCCTGCAGCATCCCATAGAGGTTCCGCTGGGCCCAGGAACCCCGTGCCCCATGCAGCCCTGGGGCTAGGGGAAGCATGAGGTGGCTGGATCCACAGGAGCCAAGAACCTATCCTTATCCTGCCTCTGTCCCCAGGAACATACCCTTGGGGTCCACTTGGTCCAGCTGGAACCACAGGCGACGATTCTCCTCTTGGAGTTGCAGCATTTCAGTCTCCAGACCTGGGGGCTGCTTTGCCACAGGGGACTGCAGAAAAGAGGCCCAGGGCCATCCTTTACAGCTGCCCAATCTGTGCTTTGCATAAGAACCATCAGGTATGGTGGCATGGGGGCCTCAAATCCAGTGCATGCACCATTGGCTGGCTTTGCCTCCATCTGAGCAGCAGTTTGTCAGAACCACATCATCCCGGGGGTGCCTTCCTCGCTGCATTTGGTTCTAAGTCCAACCCCAAGCTCAGTTTAGTCCTAACTTGGCCCAGGTTCCTATCCCAAGAATGACTCTAAATCAGACACCAACTCAACTCACACTTAACCATGATTCAAATAAGCACTTGGCTAAACCCTGAGTCATAGCCACAGCTGGCCCTGTCCACCCCAATCCCAATGTCGAGTACAGGGCCTACCACCCAACAGGGGCATAGAAAACTCAGACTCCAAGTGTAAACCTTTGCAAACTCCAGCTGTTGACCTGGGCTGGGACCCTGACCCCCTCCTCCTCAACCACAGTTATACCATTTCTAGAATTCCAAATCCCAACTCAGAACCAGTCCTGGACTTCAACCATGATGCCAGCTCAGGCTCTGAAGACAGCCTGGCTGTGGGAGACGATGGCCCCTTCCTGTCCCTCTGTCCAAATCTCCCCCATTCACCTTGGGGGCTTGTGGCCGGGTGGTGACCCGCTGAGCTCGACTTGCATATCGCAGGGTGCTGAGAGTCTCAGGAAGGCACTGGGCAGAGGGGGACACGCAGGCCACCTGGGGAGGATGCCCCCTGAGTGCTCCTCTAAGGTTCCCCTTCCTTGGGACCATACCCTCCCTGCAGCACCCCTCGGGTACCATGAGGGTGACCCCTCGGCCCCCCAGTGAGTCTGCCAGCAACTTGGTGAGCTTGCTGTCCCGGAAAGGAATGTGGCTCTGCTTCCGCTGTGGGTCCAGCAGCAGGGAAAGGCAGTGACCTGGGGGTGGGGGGGAGACACAGCAAGGCCCAGAAAGGTTGCGGTATTTGTTCAAAGCCATCTTGCTGCGACATTGCAGAACTGGGACACCCACCAGGTCCAGGTGGCTCTACAGCCATCTGCCCACGTAATCTCCTTACCCACTCACTGGCGTTCACCACCAGACTTGGCATCCTCGGGGCACAGCTGGTCCTGTCCACCCCTACCCCCAATGTCAAGTACAAGGCCTAGCACCCAGCAGGGGCTTAGAAAACTCCTATCCAGTAGCTGAATGGAAAGGCGTCTCAGGAGCAGCAGCACTATGCCTGACCCAGATCTTGGGATCTCAGTCTAGTAACTCAGGTGGATCCCAGTTCCTCCCTTCCCCCCTTCCGGGCCTCGGTTTTCCCAACGGCAGGAGGAGCAGGCCGAATGTCCCTGAGAGGTCACATTCTGCAGAGTGATGCTTCTACTTCCTGAGTTAGGACACAATGCTCTGGCCCTTACAGCACACTGAGGGACAGCAGTATTGTTCCGCATGAGTACTGGAGGTCAGCAGCTGAGTCATGGCCAGACGGGGCCTGTGGCTCCTGGACCGAGCTCTGAGCGTGTTCACCTGCACTGCAGTGTCTCTGGGCCCTGTTGCGTTGTTCCCAGGCTCACCCAGGGCTAGCAGGCTGCGGTTGATGCTGTTGGCCTCGAGCATCAGCTCCCCACGGGATCCTGTGGCCGCCACCTTCTCACTGCCAGCCAGGTCGACAAAGCACAGCTTCCCACCAGCAGGGGGCGCCGCCAAGTCCGCAGGAGGCACCTGCTGGAGCTGGGGCTGGGGCACAGGGCTTGATAGGGACTCGGGAGGGACTGTCCCCACTGGAGTCCCAAGGCCAAGACCTCCGTGCAGTGGCAGACGCTCTCTGGGTGGCACTAGGCACTCACCCGGGTGCGGCTGATGTACAGTGTGAGCAGCGCGTGGCTGCGGCTGGAGGCCTGGTTGAGAGTGTGGGCCGAGCTCCTCCTCCGGCTGAGCCCTGGAGGGAAACATCTGGGGCTGCACACTGTAGGACGCACAGGCCGTGAAACAGAAAAGGAGCACAGGCCTGGGTGCAGAGGCGGCACAGCAAAGAAGGGCACAGAGAGAGGAAATAGTGTTGGTCCCAGCAGGTGCCAGAGAGGAGCACAAGAAAGATTCTCGGCTCCTTCCCTCTGTTGTAATGGGAAAGGAGGGAGTGCAACACAGGCAAAAGAGATCAGCCCGCCTCGCTGGGGCCGGAATCTAGATTGCCAGTGTCTTCTGTACCCGCCAGAGGGAGCTGCTCAATAAATCTGCTAAGAATGAATGAGGCTGGAAAGGAAGGAACTGATGGGGTGTACTCAGAGGGGTGCCCCTCAGGGGGCAAAGAGGAGTGGAGGGTCTGGAGACAAAAGGTAAATGACCTGCAGCACAGAGGGGTGGCAAAACGTGGCAGGGTGGGAGGTGGCATGAGCCTGACAGGAGCTTGGAAGGCACAATCGGCCAGCCCTGGGGCCAGGTGGGGACTCAGTGGCAGCCAGGTTCTCCAAGGCATTTCTGAAGCCCCAGCTCTCTCCTGAGACCCAGGCCTCCCTCAGCGAGGGTACCCCGCCACACACACACACACACAGAGAGAGAGAGAGAGAGAGAGAGAGAGAGAGAGAGAGAGAGAGAGAGAATGCCCTGAAGGAGACGCACCCATCTGCAGAAGTTGCATCAGGGCCTCCAGGCCCCCGATCTCCACCACCCGCAGCTGCTCCACGTAGAAGCCCCGGGTCTTGTTCCAGCGAACGGGGAGGGGCCGGGGAGACCCCACACTCAGCAAGTCCCGAACCTGGAGGATGAGGCGCAGGGAAGGGCTGACTCTGAATCAGCTCCATGCAGCCCCAGTCTTTCTGGACAGGAGTCCCCACCTCCGCTTTGCCCCCCAGCGTGTCTCTTTCTTCGGAGGCTGCCTTGTTACCTGCTCATTATAGATCTCCAGGTAGGAAGCACGCAGGGTGACTGCAGCACCCAGGTGCTGCACGCGGTCCAACAGCCAGGCGAAGGTCCTCTGCATAATGCCAGCCAGACTGGGGGGTACAGGCACCCCCTCCCCCTGAGGGCAAAGCTGGCTAAGCCTGTGGCGGGGTTGGCCACTGCAGCAACACGGTGATAAACTACCCTTTATATAGGGCACTTACTGCACGCCAGAAATCATGCCAATGCCCCACATAGTATCTCGTTTAATCTTCACTGACCAACAGACAATTCTATTTACAGAAGAAACTAAGAGCTTTATTAAGGGGCCCAACTGGCGAGTCTCTTTCCTCTGGCCCTCAGCTTCCTGACCCAAAATTAAGTAGAGCCCGTCACTGCGAGGACGCCGGCACCTGGGGAGGAGGTCCCGTCAGCGTGTAGGTCTTCCCAGAGCCGGTCTGGCCGAAAGTGAAGACGGTGCAGGAGAAGCTGCGGGCGGCAGGGGCGCGGTAGAACCCAGGCTGGCTGCCCGCCCGGGTTGGAGGCGACACGGGAGGGGGCACCCGCCTCACTCACCCGCGCAAGGCCAGCTCGCCCAGGCGTCGCACGCCACACGCTCGGAACACGTCCTCCTGCGTGCGCGCTCCGTCCAGCACAGCGCCGAAGCGGAAGGCTATGTCGGGGCCGCCGCCCGGGGGGCTTACCTGGGATGGGCAGGGTGGGCGGTGTGGGGAGGGGCCTAAGGGAAGAATACTGGGGGGGGGGGCGGTTGCGGGTTCCTCACCTGCAGAGTCCGGGTTCCAGAGCAGTGCAACGCGCTCTGCTCCCCGCGACGCAGCTCGGCCGCGCTCATAGGACGCACCCTGGGACCCAAGCGGATGACACAGGAGCCCTCCTGAGGTCTCCTGCGGGCCTATCCTTGCCCGGGTTTCTCCTAGCCACCTTCTACCCACCTGAGCACCACCTGGATGGGCGTTTCCTGCCCCTCCAGTCCTTGCTCCAGGCTCCGCGCGAGGTCCCTGTGGTCGTAATGGGAGTTGCAACCCTGCGTCCCTGCCCCGCTGTCCCCTGGGAGCAGCGTTCAGGGCTCCCAGGGCCCTCAGAAGCTACTCTTACCCGTCGGGAGACCCGCGTTCCTCCATGTCCTGCTTTGAGCACGGCCTTGGCTCCACCCGCCCGAGCCTCATTCCTTTTCCTCCCAATACCCCCCTTCCCCAGCACCCTACCCAACCCCCACTCTCCTCTGGGTCCCAGGCAACCATCCATCCGGAAAAGCTCCCCGCCAGACCGGGGCTGGCTAGTTAAAGATTTACCCCCAACCCCACCCCTGCTGTCAGGAAAATCTCAAGCCAAGGCCCCCTAGCTAGGGGGTTCTGGAGTCTGAGGCTCCCCTGGTTTTGGACAGGCCATCAAAAGGGGACCCACAGGACCACCCAGACCAGCCTTGTCTGGTCCCAGATGGAGACAGGAAGCCAGGACACAGAGCCAGCCCGGGCACAGTGGGACCAGGCTCTTGCTGCTCCCCCCCCCCACATCCTCTCCTTGCCCTCCCAAGGGCTCCAGCCTGGTCCCAGCTCTGCACCCAGGGAGGGGAGGGGCTCCAGGGAAGACCTGAGAGCAGGTTGCCAGCACCTGGTTGGACACTGTGGGCCCTGCCTGTGTGACATGCCACATCTAGTCCAAGGCCACAGGGTCTGTGTGTCTGCCTGGTGTGGCTTCTGACAGCAGAGAGGTCCCGGAGGGCGTCAGGCAATCACTCATCCTTGTGCCAAGCTCCAGGCTGGTAATCCACACACACCTGCTCCCAGCTCCCAGCTGGCTGAGGCTGCAGGTGAGATCCATCCAGCTCCAGTGTGCAGCCCTGGTGGAGGGGGCAGAAGGCTCACGCTTCAGGAAGGCAGCAGTGGGGCGTGGAGAGTTTCTCCCACTGCCCCTAAACACACGTTAAGGTGACAAACCCTAAAAGTCACCCCACTCTGATGTTATACTCTGTACCACCACAGATTGCAGCCAGCTACCAAAGCCATCCCTACCAGGGAATGAACTACCTCGGGCAGCAGTGAGCTGCCCATGACCTGGAGGTGTGCAGGCAAAACTGGCAAAGCTGGTTGACATTTTAGTTACAGGACCTCTGGTTGTATCTATAGGGAGGGTTCTGTGGAACAAAGAGTCACAGCTCCTTGCTCTGCCACTGATTTGCCACTGAGTGTTGGCCTTTCTTAGCCTCTGTGCTATGAACAGGGGTTCATGATCTCTTTATTTTACATGATTGCTCTGAGATTCCAATCTGACAATGTAGTTGAAAATGATCCTTCAATCATAGAGAATGACCTAAAAACACAAATAAGAATCCCTAAATGATCTCTAAGATTACCTTCAACTCTGGATTTCTTTCATCTATTGTCTGTTTTGGATTGCTGAGGTAGATAGGACAGAAATTATTGCCCGTCTTTCAGAGCGAAGAAGAGGTGATAGTAGATGACATTATAGGAAAAATAACAATCCAGGGAGGATCTGGGAGTTCAAACCAGGAGCTATTCGCTGCCACAGTAAATCTCCACCATGCTCTCTCGGGGAGGCTGCCTTTTTAGTTGTAAATCCAGAAAGTGAACACCTAGATACGCTAAAGACTCTTCAAGGAGCTCAGGCTTATCGATCATTTGTATCTTGCAGTGCGCTGTTTTAGCAGATGGCACTTCTGTGAACTGCCCTGGGGGCTATGCTGTCAGTACAAAGACTAGGTAGGCTAACTGGGAGAGTAGCTGTTCAGTGGGGATTTTGTACCAGGGTTCCCAATCTGGGTCAGAAGTGCGCAGGAGCAGGAGCAGGAACAGGAGCTAAGCTTTGCTACTGTCCTCTAACAGTGACCACAGACATCTGCTACTCTCTCACTGAGCATTCCTGAGCAAGTTTTTACTTAGCCTCCTCTATGTCCCAGGCTTCTAGGCACTTGGGAGACATTACTGAACAAAACAGATAAAAATCCCTGCCCTCTGGTGAGGTGGGAGAGACAGGAAAGCAACAGGCTCTGGTTTGTGTCTAGGTGTCCCCCAAAGCCTCGTGCTGTCATGGGGCAGCTTCTGGAGTTCGTGATTGGTCATTATGGGTGTGGGGGCTACACCTCCCTGGGGTAGGGAATTTGCATTCCAGGCTAGCTAGCTGCCTGAGCTGCGGCCGCTCCCTTGGTTCTTTGCTCTTTGCCACCATCATGAAAGGTTGCTCTCTGCCATCTGCCACTCTGCCTTGGAGCCAGCTGAGTAGGGACTGAAACCTCCACTAACTGTGAGCTAAATAAACCTTTCCTTCTTTCATTTTGGGTGTCGGGTATTTGTCCCAGCAATGAGAGAAGAGTAACTTAGACAAACATAAGCATAGATATAATTTACATTAAGAACTTCTGTGCTATGAAAATTGCCAACTAGAAGTAAGGGGGACTGTGAGTGTTGGGAATGAGAAAAATTGTGGTTTAAGGAGAGGGTCATGAGATCCCTCATTGAGAAGGCCTGAGGAGTAAAGTTTATTAGCTAAGCAAGCAGATACTGGGGGGAAGATGATCTCCTGTGCGGGAAGTACCCAGTGCACACATTGTGCAGTAGAGTGCAACTAGGTATTTAAGCAATACAAGAACAAGGTGCTAGAGGACTGTCATTGAGAGGCTGGCAGACAAGAGGTCCCAGGGGCTGGGGGGCCCGATCCCGGGTGAGACTCGCAGGTGCTCAGCTTTGGCTTTTACTCTGGGTTGATAAGGGAGAGAAGTGCTCCGGTCTTGAACAGAGACAACGACATTTGTTAGGTTATTGGATCAAGCGTGGAAGAGAAGTAAGGGTGAACTATATAAGCTCCTAGCACATCTTAAACTATTGCACACCGGTGACAAAGAAAACCTCTTAAAAGCGGCTATAGGAAAAGTGCATAGCTGGCACACGAGCAACCGCAGCACTTTCCAGCAGAAATTCTGGACACGTGCAGACAGCAAGATGACGTGTTAAAGAGCTGCACTTTCAGGGATGGAAGGAGGAGGAAAAGAGGAAGGCGCAGAGGAGAGGGATAAGTGCAAAGATGAGGATGCTATATGTAAATGCACCAACTGCTCATGATTAATGTACTTCTTACGTGCCACACACATGTACTTAAGAAATTTTGAAAAATAAAGCATTTGAAAATAAAACAGTTGCCTAGAATACAGCTCAGGGGTACAAGCTTGGCAAGTACAAGATCCTGAGTTCGATTCCCAGTACTAAAAATAAACAAACAAATAAATAAAATAAAATGAAAAGTCAACCTAGAATTATATGCCCAGCACACATATCCTTTACAAACATAGGTAATTAGGTATTTTTGAACAAGTAGAAGCTGATTTAACTCACCTCTGATCAGTCACTACTACAAGAAAAACCAAAGGAAATTTTTTTGGTGTTGAATGGAAATGAAAATGAGGGCCAACCAAATAGCTCACTGGATTAAAGCACCTGCAAGCAGATGCAGCGGCCTGGGGGTTTGATCCCCAGGCCTGCCATGCCAGCCCCACCCTTGGGGTGTGCTTAGATGGCAATTGAGACTGGGTGTGGTGGTGCATGCCTGAAATCCCAGCTCCTGGGAGGCTGTAAACAGGCAGATCACTACAAGTCAGATCTAGTCGTGAGACCCTGAACACCCTGTAGACCCTTCCCTAAAAATACAAAAAAAGAAAAGAAAATGGTCCTATATAAAAACATGAAGCTAGAGGAGGAAGTAAAGGGCACCAGAAAGAAGGGTTATAAAATCACTGTGGTTGCTTGGAAGAAATACTAATGCCTGGGTATCATCATTATCAATAACTCTACATGATAATAGTATAAAGCCTAGGAGGGCCGAGTGCAGTTAGGCTGCAGAATTGGCTCTGCACTTGTTTGGGATGTTATAAAAGCAATTCAAGCCAGATGTAATAGGTCAGGGGTGCAGAGCAAAATCTTTAAGGTAATTGCCTCAAAAATAAAAGTTAAAGTTAGAGAAGAATGAATGAAAATTCCTTGATTGACTCACAAGAGAAAAAGAAGGAGAAACAAAATCACAAAGAAGAAATGGAACAAACAGAAAATAGAAAACAAGGTACAATTAAGTCCATTTATTCCAGTACATGCAGCTGGCCATGTGCATGCTCCAGTTCTCAACTAGCAGATTCAACCAAACATGGATGGAAAATATTACAAAAAGTGCATCTCCACTGAATATGTACAGGTAGTTCTCACCATTGTTTCCTAAAGAACACAGGATAACAACCATTTATAGAGTGTTTGTCTTTTTGTTAAAGAGAATACCAAATAATAATAAAAAAGAAAAAAATTATAAGTGGATCCAGCATTTCAGTAAAATAATATGAATTAGACAATATTTGTTGTATTGCATAGGGTTGTCTTCAGATGAGCTGTTCAGATTGCCAGATATACGCATGCAGAATTAGAAAAAGAAAGAAAACATTATAAGAAATTAAGAAGAGAGAAAAAATTAAGCTTGAACTGTGCCTTTCCATAGAGCAGCAGAAGTCCACAGTAGAGTTGACCAAACCATCCTGCTTACATACATAGATAACTGTTTCCCCCGCTCCCTCTCCTGTCCTCCTCATCTCAGTTAATTCCTTCCTTTTGAATGGGTTCATTCCCTTTTTCACAGTATCTATTGTACCTTTCAGATTTTATTTACTCTTTCGAGTTCTTACACTAAGGAGACAATATGATATTTGCACATGTGGTTCTGATTTATTTCATTAATATGGTCTCTAGTGGCATTCATTTATCGTGTATCAAGTATTTTAAATAATCTAGATATGAAGTATATGTGAAGATTGCGTAGGTTGTATGTAAATACCATGTCAGTGTTATATAAGGACCCGGAGCATAGTGGATTTTAGTATCCTCATGGTGTCCTGGAAGGAATTCTCCATAAGTTCTAAAGGACCATATTTATTGATGGTAGTATGTAGGCTAAATATTTCAAATAAAAAGTACAAAGATTTTCACACTGCTTACAAAAAAAAAAAAATGTATGGTTGTTTAAAAAATGTAAAAAGAAGCGCACATTTGGAGGCTGGGACAGGCAGGTCCAGGCTTGAAACCAGCCTGGGCACTCAGTGAGCCCTTGTCCCAAAATAAAATATGACAAGGGGGTGTAGCTGAGTGGGAGAGAGCCCTTGAGCTCATCCCCCACATTTGATCCTTAGT